GATGAACAAGCTGCTCGAGCTGAAGCCTGACGCCGTTGGCGGGATGCCGGCGAACGCGAAACCGGAGGAGGCGCTGGCTTTCAAGGTCAAACTCAACTCCTGGTACCAACGGTTCCGCAAGCGGAATGGGCTCAGCATCCGCCGGCGTACCAGCGTGGGCCAGAAACTGCCGCAGGGGTACGAGGGTATGGCGTGGGCGACGGTGATGAAGCTGCGCGAGGCTCTCGTGAAGCGCGCCGGTGAGATCTACGCTCGGCGCCACCCGCCGGCACCTGACGAGAGCCCCATCAAAGGGGAGGATCTGACTTCCGAGCAGCTNCTCAGCATCCGCCGGCGTACCAGCGTGGGCCAGAAACTGCCGCAGGGGTACGAGGGTATGGCGTGGGCGACGGTGATGAAGCTGCGCGAGGCTCTCGTGAAGCGCGCCGGTGAGATCTACGCTCGGCGCCACCCGCCGGTACCTGACAAGAGCCCTATCAAAGGAGAGGATCTGACTTCCGAGCAGCTGGCGTCTGTGGAGGCGGAGGTTTTCGAGGAACTCGGCAACATGGACCAGACGCCAGTCCAGCACGAGATGCCGGTGGAGACCACTCTGGAGAAGACCGGTGCGAAGGATGCTCGCATCAGCACAGGAGGTGAGGGCGAGCTAAAATGTTTTTCAAAATTTTGAGTGGTGTGCGGATATTTTGTCGTTGGACAATTTTTTTAGACATGTTTCTTTTTTTTAAGTGTCGGTACACGGCGCGATGTAGCTCTATCGCTAGACACAGGAGGGTTGCTACCTTTTTCTGCGGGATTATTCTACACTTCCTTTTTCATTGCATCCAAACTATCAACCAATTTAGTTTTCGAAACGTCCGGTACCGTTTGCATCCATTGTGTCAACCACACGCCGCTGTCCTCGCAGAAATATTCAACACTCTACTCCCCCACCCCCCTCCCCTCAGGCAAAGAGAAGGAACGCTTCACGCTCGTTCTGGCTGTCATGGCGGACGGCAAAAAAATGTTTCGCCGCGCATCATCTTCCAGGGCACGCCGTTCATCCCCCCGACCGTGAGCGGCAAGGGCAAGAGCACCCTGCCGCGGAAGAACTCCGTCGCGTGGGAGATCCATCCTGCGAACCGCGCCAAGCACGGCCACCCTGCCAACGGCATGTCCTTCGGCGTGCAGGAGAAGAGCTGGAGTGACCAGCGGGAGTGCAACGGGTGGATCTCGGGCAGCTGGAAGCTCCGTCCCAACAACGGCAGCATCGTCCAGCAGCGCCCGTGCATCCTGGTGCTGGACGACTTCAAGTGCCACAAGGACGAGGGTTTCATCGCCGCCCTCAAGAGAGACGCCAACACCATCGTCATCTTCACCCCAGGCGGGTTGACGCCCTTGCTCCAACCGCTCGACCGCACGCTCAACAAGCAGATGAAGCGGCTGCTGCGGGGCAAGTACACCGCCTACAGCGCGTCGGCGGTAGCAGACGCCCGGTCGGGGAAGCTGAAGCCACCGCAGCGTGGGGTCGTCTCTACGTGGTGGAAGGAAGCGTGGGTCCATCACCCCCGAGACGGTGAAGACTTGCTTCAAGATCTGCGGTCTCACGCTCGCGCTCGACGGCAGCGAAGACCACGCCTGGTGCGAGCACAACTTCGGGGAAGACTACCGCGACCTTCTCGAGGAGCAGCACGCCGTGTGGCTCGCTGAGCACCCCGACGTGACTCTCCCGCCGCTCAAGCTGCCGAAGGTACCACGGGGGTTCGACTCCAACCCCATCACGGCTGCTCAGAAGGAGGTCGAGGGGAAGCTGCTGCCCTACGTCGCTGATGAGAGCGGCAGCGAGGTGGAGGTCTTGGAGGGCGACAGTGACGTGGAAGTCGTGAAGGGGCAGGGGGGCGGGGGCGCCGAAGGAGAAGTAGTCGAACTTTGAATCATAGTTCTTTGGGATTGCCAATGAGATTGAATGTTTTTGCGATGGTAGGGGCGCGGGCACGAAGCAGAGTTCAACCCGCCTAGGAAGTACAGATAGTAGTAGGACGTTGGTAGCTCGTAGTGGTAGTTTGGTGTGATTTTTTACTTCGTTTTTGGTTTCATCTGCGTTTAGAATTTGTTGAGTGGATGCCGTTTGCCGATTTGCCGATCTTGATTCTTCAGAACGAAAAGAAGAGAACAAGGAGTACAAATACCACAATTTTGAACATCGTCATGGTGCCAAGGGCAGCAGTAGCAGTGGAGCACG